CACATTCGAGCACGGATCGCATTTTATCAACGTTTGTAACTATGGACCGACCTTTGATTCCACACGTTTGGTGTGGACCGACGATATCTTTTATTACTGACTGAAGTCTAGCCGCCAAAACTTTAATTTTTATTTTGTAGTCTACGTTTGTCAGTGCAATTGGCCTGTACGCTGTGACGTGCCTGAGCTTTTCGACCTCGTCTGTTTTCGGAATCAGAACGGTACGCGATTCATCAAAGGATGGTGGTAATTTCTCTTCCTCATATGCCTAATTAAAAATGCCCGCAAGCATTGAAGACAATTCACTTTTAAAACATTTGTACCACTTGGCACAAAGACAATCTGGTCCTGGAGATTTCCCGGGATTTAACTTATCAATCGCCCGTTCCACTTCAGATGCAGATATAGATAATTCCAAAGCGCTTTTCACTTCCTCACTAACTTGCGGCATGCGTCCTAAATATTCGTCTTTAAATCTTTCTAGGTTTACCTGTCTACACGCAAAAAGGTTTTCAAAATGACTTGAAAATACGGATAAAATGCTGTCGGTATCGGTTACTTCGTGACCATCCTTCTCTCTTTTTTTGATATTATTCCGTCGAGCGTTCGTTTTCTCCACCACTAACGCTCTTTCAGTTGGCGTCTCTCCAGCCGCTGAAGCCTCAGCCCTTGCACGGAGGAGTGCACCGCGGTAGCGTTCCTCGTCATGCAGTGCAAGTTTCTGCTTAATATTGCGTATGTTAATTTTTTTACTCTCCCGGTTGTTTGCACTCCAAGTCTATTAGTCTTTCCAAAGTCTTTCGCAGTTCTTTTTCTTTTTCCTTTCGTAACTCAATGTGCAAGAATGATCATTAGCTTTTATTTTTATTCGCTGCTTGAACTCTTCGCATTGTTCTGCAAATTTAGCTCCATCATCCATTTTTATTTCAGTGATGCAGTTCATTACCTGATCTAAGAAATATTCTTCAGTGATCAAAGTGGAATTCATCTTCCACAGCTCCCGTGAGAAAGTTCCACCTTTTGTTTTCTCTCCCATATCACATTTAACTAAACAATGATCACTGAATTGTATTAGGTAGACAGCATATGTCTTACAGTGGGCTATTAATTCAAGCGACACGTAAATGCGATCAAGGCGCGCATGGCTATTCCTCTGAAAATGTGTGAAACGCACATCCCGCGTTCCCTCCATACAGCAGCCCACGTCTTCTAATTCGAATACAGTAACTACGTCCGCTAGCGTCTAACTACTTTTTTAGTAAAAAGCGCGTCCGTTTGCTCGACCTCGCCCGTTGAGGACACAGTTAAAATCACCAAGTAATACATATTTTCTTTCCAAAGTGAAGTGCTGCTTTAGGCTTAAAAAAAGTGATTGCTCCTCGCAAATGGTTGGTGCATAAGTAAACACTACACGCCACTGACATTCATTGAATACAAAATGACAGGAAACGAATCTACCAGACGGACATGAGAATGTATCTTGCACTACCAGACCCGGTAACGTCTTAATGAACAAAACAAAGCCTGCAGACGTGCCTATTTCTTGACCTACAATTGCGTAGTAACGCGCCGTAAACATCTGCACCATGCCCTGGGTCTCCTTCTCACCGTCTACTTTTGTTTCTTGTACAGCTAGTATATCCAGATCATGATCCACGAGCAGCCTGTAGACTTGGCTCTGTTTCCGCTTGGCGGAAAGATCTCGAACATTTAACGTAGGCACTCTAAGTTTCGGTGCAAAAGCCATGTCTACACAGTGAAGAAGTTAGCCCGGAGCATGATGCTTACCTTCAGCGTCTAGCATAGAGCTAGACATCTTCGGAGCCTCCAGGTGGACTCGTGCCACTGGAGGACAAAGGTGGCCAGTGTTTGTCCAATATCGGGTTGCGACGCAGCCTTGTGCTGCTGCGTCTGAACAAAGTAGCCTTCGCAGGTGGCCCCTCTTCATGCTTTTCACTGGACACCTCACGCCGTCCTGCAGACTGCTCGCGGGGTCTTTTGCTTGACGCCCCACCACTGATACTCTCGCACGACACTGGAAGTTCGGTTAATTCCACCGGCTCAGGCTCCTTCGATGGGGTGCTTTTGATGCCTTCTTCGGATTGGCCGGCTGGCTCTTGAGTAACCTCCCCAGATTCTATGTCTGCTTGGGCTGTTGATTCATCACCACCAGTTGGTGTGGCTGTACCAGTTGAAGCTTCTGGGTTCACCACGTCGCCTGCGCCTTTCGCCACGTCTTCAGCTTCGGTCACGTCCATCACCAACTCTGCTGTGTCTTCACCTTTAGCTTATCCTATAGCCGATGCGTACGTGCGCATGCACGCGTCTTCGCTGTGGCCTAATCGCCGACAACGCGAGCATCGGGGTACCTTACACTCTCTTCTAACATGGCTGGTACCTTGGCAGCGCAGACACTGCATTGGCCGACCAGGTGCAACCACAAATGCCAGCTCACCAGCCACCCTGATTTGATGCGGAAGATCTTCAACCTTCACGCCACTCTCGAGCTTAAGAAGCACAGTCCGTGTGGTTGACCTCTTGTCGCTGACTCCTTGAACACGCCAATTCTCCCAGGTGACTTGTACGACCTTCCTATAAGCCGCCAACGCCGTTCGCACGTCTTAATCGTTGACGCCATACAGCAGCCAATGAAGACGCCGCCGCCCATGCTGATCCTGGGGGTCTACGATGATGCAGCGTCCACCCTTGACTTTCATCTCCTTCACGTCCAGCAAGCGTCTCGTAGCGTCCGCGTTGTTCATGGTGACTGCCGAGACATGATTTATCTGGTAGACCCCCAGTGACAACACCTCCAGCAGCAGTCCTGTAGGTCCGAGCGCGTCTCGGAAATCTTCTACTCGATACGGTCTGCCACGCACATAACCGTGTAAAAACAGTGTTTTGCGTAACGCGTTCCTTGGGCAGTGGTGACAAAATTATCTCGTATCCTGCATCTGGCTCTACGCTCGTCTTGTTACTGCGGCTAGTATGTGCCGCAAACGCAGCTCCTACGGAGCACACGACTCCTGCGTCCGACGCGCGTGAGTGCCGAAGAAAGAATGACTGTGTCACGCTCACAGATGGCGGTGCTGGTGTTAAAGAAATAGTCAACCCACAAAGTCACTGTTTAGTTTCTGTTTGTCCATTATTTGGGTGGGACGAGATCTGCACCTGCTACTAAGATTTGCACATTTAATAAACACGAACTGCTGCCTGTAACGATTGCCACTGCGATAATGGCAACAGCGCAATGTTTTTGTTAAAATTTACAACCGCAAGGAAAAAACTACTCAGTGGACTGAGGAGCACGTAGAGTTTATCGGCGGTTACTGCCAAGTTTATTATGCGTTTCTCGCTCCTTTCAAAGGGCGATATCAGTTCAGGCTTTATAACGCTTGTATGCTCATTCGATAGATAAGCCCACACAATTGATTTTGATGTTTTTGCCGCAACGCACACCGCAGGCGTGCCAGCACACCGCTGTTGCACTTTCGTTAGGAACAGCTACATAACGGATTGTTCAAAACGAATGCAGTGTGCCAGAAACATTGTGCTATCATATTAGTTCAGTAAGCATACGAATTGACGTGGCTATGTTATCGCATAAGAGCCAGCGAAGCACCGGCGAGTGTGACCGGTGGCTGTCGGTGAGACGAGGAGTACCTTTGGTGAAAGTGCTGCAAGCACGTCGCATCGATGTTTGTCGCTTCTTGCGTGGACACTGTACACAAGTAAATGATGCCGCAGCTGTACTGTATTGATATTTTTACTCGTCAAAATTGTATTCTGAAACCCAGAAGCGCCGATAATAGTTGTACGGGCTTGGTCGGTATGACTAACCTTTGGTGGAAATCATGGTGGTAGAACAGAAGGGTTAAAGACATATTCGCTGGGGCTTATCTCGACGCATGTCGAAAGTGAAAGTTTATGCATATTCGCACGCACTTTGTTAACTTAAAGGTACGGCTGAAACAACAGAGTGTGCAAGAATTACCAGAGTTGCGTTTCTAGCGTGGCGACATCAAGTCACCGCTGTGTTCTGCTCTAACATTGAAAGGGGAAATTGCAAACTGGAGCCCAATTATTTCTCGACAACTGCTCGCCGATGTGAAACATTTGTTGTCATGTTCACAGTGACAACTCTAGTCTTCTAAACATCACAACAAAGAAACACATCGCCGAAGTCAAACTGATGTAAGTACGTGCGCGAAATGTAAACATATTCCCGGTCGCATATTCTATGCTCCACGAAATTGAAGCGTTGTTGACACCACAAGAATAAAAAACAAGTACTAGAAAGCATAATGAGCAGCGTTGGTTTCTTTCGACTGCAAACATATATCTCAGCGCATTCAAAAATTAAACACTACAAATAAGCGATTTCACATGTATACTCTCATGTGCTTTTCATCATGCCACCGTCATCCACCGCATCCACCAAGCTTCCATCAGGCCACCGTCATCCATCTTCTTCACCAAGCCTTCTACCAAACACGTTTTGCCTCGCCACCATGAGCCGGCATTCCCCACCGTCATCACCAATGGCTCGCCAACACCACCACCATCTGCCACCATTTTTTTCACTCTAGCCATCATCAGCCAGCATTTTCCACCGTCACCACCATTGGCTCGCCACCACCACCAACATCTGCCACCATTTTTTCCACTTTCGCTGCCAACAGCCATTATGCCCACTACAGTTTCCACCATATCCACTAATATTTCCACCATATCCACTATTCTTTCCACCATATCCACCAACAACTCCAGCATCCACCAACCCAGGATTTTCAATATAGTTGTTTACACAACGTGCACTGCTCTTCTCATCTTGGTGATCCAGTGAACGTATTACCAATATGCACTTCCACATACCTTCGTTTTTCGAATCTTTTTTTTTCAAAAACGCAATGTGAGTTTATTCATCCAGTAAAACTTGAAAGTATCCTTTCTTACACATTTAGTGCTCTTCATAAATAGTTAGAAATGTACAAACATGATCAATTTTTAAAGATTCATCAATTTTTATTCGGGCAGGAGCCACACGTTGCTGTATTTTCATCAGCTATAAGGTGTTTCACCACGCTGGGCGACGTTCATAGGTTGCTGTGCTGCTTGCTGGTTGGAATCGCTTGGGACATCCGTGGAAGTGGTGGGTGTCTTAGGATCTTGGCCAGTGAAAATACTCGTAAAGAAGGATACTATTTTCGACACGGTTTCGACTGCCTTGTCCTTTATCTTTTGGTAGACGTCAGTTACGGCCTGCCTGACATTGTTTGTGGCATTTACGACTGCACCTACGATAGAACCTGTTATCTTCTGCACGCTGTTCGTGGCATTCGCGACTGCCCCTACGATAGAACCTGTTATCTTCTTCACGCCGTTCGTTACTGCTTCCGTTGTTGTTTCCCAGAAGTCCTGAAATATGTTCTCTTCACTCTAAAAAAGAAATAAAACAAAGAAAATCAGCATAAGAACACAACACGGCCGGCACCACCGTACAATGCTGTATATATATATATATATATATATATATATATATATATATATATATATATATATATATACGTGTGTGTATTGTGGGCAGGTTGTACCTACACGTTCCCACTTGTATAAAATAATCGTCATCGCAATCGGGCTCATTCGTTGCTGTTCTGAGTGACAGCAGCTATCGCGGAATAAACGCTTCTGCTGGCCCTGCTTGGTGAAGTCTTCCTGCGTCTTTCGGAGCAGTGGAGGTGCGGAGTAGATCCCCAGGTCATTCTACGTTCGTGTTCTACCTGGAGGTACGATCCGGTCACTGCTTGCACCCGGCCACCCCGAAAGCTATGCAGACTACGGAACTAACACATAGAGCCCTAACCCTTTCGAATCAATGCCTGCGGCTGCCCTCCTTTCATCCACTGTCACAATCCTGAGTGCGAACCACTCATGTTCGCGGGTCTCCGTTGTGACGACGTCCAGGACAGGCTTGACCTTTACAACGGTGTTAGTCGAGCCAGTTCGTCGACCAAAGCGGCGAAATTGAGCTATCTCCTATTCTATCTGACCAGCGTAGCGAAAACGTAGTATTTTAATCACGAAACTGACTTAGTTGACTGGTCGTCTTTTCTACGAACAGCGAACAGTGATATGACGGAAGGCAAGCGTGTTCGCCACATCCCTAAATCAATACGCACGATTGCATTCAACGCCTTGGCTGTTAAAAAGCCCAATATGGCGGAAAACATCCTTTCATCATGCCAATGCCATGATAAGTTGAAGTCCCTCTGCCTTTAAAAGACAACAATCATCTCCTTTCCATGCGATCATTCGTGAGGAACTTTGTGACCTGGAACAGCAGTGGTACTGCCATCTCGTTTATCATTTCGTCCGTTCACGTTGCATTATACTGAGTTTGGTACATGTGAAGCTAGTGAAACGGCCGCGAGCGCATCTTAGGCATAGCATGTAATTATGTTGTTCCAGACACGCATCTCATGTTTATCATGTTTGCACAAGTATCATATTTTCGCCACCCATTCACGTACGGTAATACCAAATTTGTTATAACTGAAGCTAGCAAAACGGCCGCCAGCGCATCATAAGCGTGGCATATAGTCATGTTTTTACATGACACGGATCTCTTGAATTTCATGTTAGGGTCTGCCGCTTGTGTTCGCAGTGCAATCATGCATACCATACCAGTTTCGCAACCTGCCATTTGAACAAAACCACCGCAAGAGCAGCAGGAACATGAAATGTAAATCATGACATTCATGAAATACATGCCATTATTTTCTTGTTATGACTAGTAAAATATGTTCTCTATACGCTCATGTTATGTTATACCAAGTTTGGTTTTGATACCATTATCAAAATGGCCAGGAGAGCTAAATGTCGTTAGTAGATAGATAGATAGATAGATAGATAGATAGATAGATAGATAGATAGATAGATAGATAGATAGATAGATAGATAGATAGATAGATAGATAGATAGATAGATAGATAGATAGATAAGAACAAAGTCGCCGGAGTTCACGAAGAGAGGCTTCGCATTTAAAGCCACCCTCGCTACGCCAGATGGGCTCTGCGAATTTAACATCATGTCATTTAACTTGTGCGACGCTCCGGCAACACTTGAGCGGATGATAGATATTCTTCTTCGTGACCTAAAATAGAAGACCTGCCTTTGTAACTTTGACGATATTGTTGTGTTTTCATCTACCTTTATCTGACACCTTCAACAATTAGTCGAAGCACTTCACAGCCTTTGGAATGTTGGCCTTAAGGTAAATACCAAAAGCGCATGTGTGCCAGTAAAAGTCTTGGGTCAGGCCGTTTCGATAGATGGACTCCGACCAGATCACAATAGCCGCTATAATCCAGTTTTCTCGGCCTTCCACTCAAAAACGTTGCGCAGAGTTATTGGCCTGGCGCTCTACTTTGGTCGCTTTATACGCAACTTCGCCACAATAGCAGCTCCCCTAAATATTAGTCGCTGGTGCTTCTTTCGCTTGGTCCGACAACTTTGAGCTAGCATTTTAAGTCCTTAAAGAACCCCTGACTTCCAGAACACTGCTTCGCCACTTTGACGAGAGAGGGCCTATCCTCCACAATGACGCAAGCGCGTAAGGTATCGAAGCAGTACTTTTGCAGTGTGATGCCGCTTCAAAAGAGCAGGTTGTGGCACACATCAGCCGGACTCTGTCGACAGCGGAGAGAAACTATATGATCACGGAGCAAGAGTGCCGGGCTATTGTCTGGTTGACACTGAAATTCCGCCCGTACCTCTAGAGTCGATACTTAACTATTGACACAGATGTTTATGCACTGTGTTGGTTGTCCTCGATGAAGAATATGTCAGGGCGTCTAGCGCGCTAAGTAGTTCACTTGCAAGAGTATGACTTTACCATCACATACAGGTCTGGTGAATTTCATAATATTGACGCACTGTCCCGATGCCCACTTTCACTCTCTCCCGACAGAATTTCTTACCATCGCATCAAGGGAGCTCCCACATCCCGCCTGCCTCACGGCACTTGTCTATCACCTCACTGGACCAAATTCAGCCTTTTTCGTAATCCGGTTTCCGTTCACTTCAGCGTTCCGATTCCTACTGTGAAACCTTCATTGACTACCTTCATGGCATCACAAAACCACACACCAGCTGCTTGAGACGCCAGCATCGGCAACGTTGCTTCGACGATGGTATGCTCGAACGCTATATCTATTATCTCACAAATAACAAGTGGATGCCAGTCGTTCCCCGTTGCCTTCGTCTTCAGGTGCTAGGAGCATTACACGATGACATTCCTGCTGGTCATCTAGATTCTCGCAAGACCTGCGACCATGTCAGGGCCCTCTGTTACTGGCATGGCTTGTCCACGTCGGTAGCCAAATACGTCGGCTTGTTCGCGTCCTGTCAGCATCGTAATTGATTCACGTCCCTGCCCACCGGTTTCCTGCAGCCTCTTCACTATCTGATAACACATTTTGAATGCGTCGGAATCGACTTGCATGGTCCCTTGACAATGAGGTCTAATGGTCAATGTTGGATCGCCCCTGCAATCACTCATTTGACAAGTTACGCTGAGACTGCGCTTCTTCGAAACGGTACTGCTACAAATGTCACCGACATCTTGCAGTCTATCGCCGAGCGCCACGGAGCTCCTCGCGTTCTGCTGAGCGACCGGGGCAAAACCTTCATTTTGCACGTCCTCGAGGAAGTCATATGGTCCTGGAAAACGATGCATATCACCACATTTACGTACCGCCCACAGACAAATGGCCTTACTGAGGGCTTTCAGCAAACACTCTCTGACATGATCATTATGTGCCTGCGTCCAGATCAAAAATACTGGGACAATATTTTACCATTTGTCATCTTCGCATATAATACCGCAATGCAAAAACTGACCAGCTACATCCCTTTTTTCGTTGTGTATGGACGATCTGCATTCTCAGTCTTCGACACAGCAATTTTCTTTACACCAGCTTCATCCAGTACTTCCCCACCAGAAGAGTACGCTTCTCGAGTCGCTCAATGCCTTTAAATTGCTTTTCGCAACATGGAAGCCACTCAATAAGAACGAAAACGTTGCTGCGATCGCAGAAGACACGACGGTATATTTCATTCAGGATATAGGGCCCTACTAAGGACCACAACTCGGGAGTCAGGGTTCTTCGAGAAATTGCTTTACAGGTATGTTGGCCCATACACCCTTCTACGACAAACTTCTCCCCTGAACTATCTCGTGACCCCGCTTCAGTCTGTCACTGACCACCATCTTAGGAGCACATAAATTGTTCACGTGTCACGCGTGAAGCCTTTCATTGCTCTTTCAGCTGACCTTTTAGTGGCAGCCAGGCTGCCCGATTCGAAGAGAGGAGAAATTAGCGTAGGCACATTTGTCGTACTTCATCGTTCTCACTTGTATATAAGTAGCCATCATCATCACGATTGGGCTCGTCCGTCGCTGTTCTGGGCAGAGGCTGACATCGCGGCATAAACACTTCTCCTGGTTAGGTCTTTTTCTATATTGATACGAAGTGTCACTACCAGGAAAACAAGAAAAGCAGAAAAGCATGGATAGAGAAGGAAGACGACGTTGCTTATACTGTGATCGCGGACTTAGGGCCCATTGAGCCCCCTTAAGTTACCTTACCTTACGCATATATATATATATATATATATTGTAAGATGGCGTCCAGTACCCTCAAGACTCTTCTTTATTGTCTCGAGTATGTGCCCCACAACCTATACACTGGAGTGGTGATGATGAGTATGTACAGATGAAAAAATGGAATGAGTAATGATGCTCACACTTATTTTCCCCGCGCACTTGAGCAGCTGGCCCGGCCGAGACTTAGGCGGGAAAGGTACGGCGAACAAAGGGTTTAAGGCGTGAAACGTGAACTATCTCGAATGCACGGTAACGACGGTCCGAGGAACCCTCAAGGGGAGTGATACGGTAATTGACAGGAGATGTTCGTTCACTAACAACGTAACGTCCGAGAAAGCGTGACTGAAAGTTTTCACACAATCCGGGTGTACGAACAGGCATCCAAAGTAGTACTTCATCTCCAGGACGGAAGGTGACGTCTCGACGAAAGCTATCATAGCGTTGCTTGCGGTCTAGTTGACTGGCCTCCGTGTTGAGTTGAGCACGTTGCCGTATGTCAGCGAGTCTGGAGACGAAATTTCCTGGCGTAGTCGTGGACGTTTTTGTCGTTACATTGAAGAAAGAGGAGTCAATTGTGAATGTCGGCGCACGACCATAGACGAGGAAGAAAGGTGAATACCCGGTGGTTCGTTGAACAGCGGTGTTGTGTGCAAACGTTACGAACAGCAAGATTTTGTCCCAGTTATCGTGGTTCGGTCCGATGTACATGAATATTATGTCAATTGGAGTCCGGTGGAATCAATTTGTCAGGCCATTTGTCTGCGGGTGGTAA